TGTATTATATTTCAAGTACTTTTATTTATGATATAGTATTTTTTATTTTTACCCCCCCTTATTAAAATTTCTGCGTCCCCTGCGTCCCCCACTGACTAATATCAAAATCATTTTATATATTATCTATTAATCCAAGCTACCTTTAATCGTTTCTCTTTTTCTGGTTTCCAATAAGAAGAAAAAAAAGTTTTCCAAAAAAAAAAAAGAAGAAGAAGAAAAATAAAATAACGGGGGGCGTGTGTGGATCACAATCTTTGAGGTTTATTGACACTCCTGCCAATTATAGCTGTTTATTATGCGTGTTGAATCTTTGTACTTTATATTGTTTGTCTATTTATGGCATCCGTAAGTGTTGTATTATTTAACTGTTAACTTCATTTTTACACAATAAGGGACCACAAAAGCATGCATAATTGATCAAAATATCGATGTTCACCAATATAAAAATGCGTTGGTTAATAATTTAGAAATGCGCGGTAGAAATTGAATGAATTTGAGAAAATATTCCGTTATTGACGGGCTCTATGCATGACACTTGTGCTAGTGGCGGATGTTAAACAATTTTAAATTATTTTAATACTTTTTCTTTTTTGAAGAAAAAAAGACTTGTAAAAGAAAAAGTCACGGTGTACTCAAATTCAGTAATTCTAATTAAAGTTCACCAAATGGAGAATTATGCGAGAAGGTTCGGCACTTCGACTCAAAATTTTAAAGTATTGAGTAAAGTTAAATTAATTATTTTATATTTTTTTAACATACCCTCTCATGCAAGAGCTCTTTGGGCTTGAAGCGTGGATATGACACAAATCCATTTTTGATCTCTGCCTTGTGCTTTTCTTAATTCCACCTGAAAGTAGAGGGCAATGAAGATCGAACTCGTGATCCCTAAAGTTCTGATACCATGATAAACGCCACTTCAACCCAAAATCTCAAAGTATTAGATGAGGCTAAATTAATTATTTTATATCTCTCTAACAAAGTTGAAGTTCTGTTTCTACTTAAAATCAAGCAATGACCTTATTTTGTACTGAGCATAAATACATACATTTTCTTTTTTCTTATTTGATGTGTTATCTACATTTTCACATTTAGAAAAAAAGTAAAGCAATGCATATAGAAAACAAAACAAAAAAGTCTTTGTCAATATATGTCAGTATCCATCTAGATATATAAGTTAAGTAACTTGTTTTGAGGGAAATTATTTTTTAAGCATAAATTTATTCTACTAATTTTTTTCTTGGCGTTTCTCCAATAAACATGATTAGGTGAATGGTTAACATTTTTTTTTGGGTTCAGTCACGCAACTATGTTTAAAAACTATAAAGCTGAGAACTAAAAAGTTATAGCATACCAAAAAAAAAAAAAAAAGTTATAGCAACAGCTATATTTAAAAAAGATTGTAGACGACTACTTTATTATATAAAAATATACTATTCTTCACATGACTCTTTTAATACTCCAGATAAAATTACCTGACACTTGATAATAATAATTTAAAATGTAAAATACCACTAATTATGAAGGAAACACCAATTTTCGAATAATTGATATCTTTATACTCTCTGTATATATATGGATTAGAATGGAAATAATTTTATGAATCAAATTCATATAAAATACGTTTATAATCTTATAAACGGATTCTTTGTCAATGAAATTACATGTTGTACTATTGATGGTTCATATATATGACATTTTAATAAAATACGTATATTTTTTTTGGGAAATTCAAATTTTGTACGGAAACAATCAAAGTTGGATTATTTCTAACACGGATCCATTTCTAATAATGCAGATCTAACAGTTTTGAGAAGCATGGATATATTGTTGAAGAATGTGAAGTTTTATGATTGCGGCTAGTAAAAGAAGCCACTAATCTTGCCACCAATTGCTCCACTAGAAAATATCATTCATCGTTGAAAAGTAAGACAAATTAAATGAAATCAAGGAACGGGTAGTAACATGGAGACGTACAATATAATATATCTTTCATCAATTAGTGGAATTTTATTTTGCGGGGAAATTAATATCATCCGTTTGTGATGATATCTAAAAAGTAGCACAAAGCCACCACAGATTTTGTCCTAGAAGAGTGTACGGGGAATTTAAACATAAAAACACAAAACCCAAGCAGTAGAGTTAACAACAGAACTATATAAGCCAATAAAAAAACTGATTAACAGTCAAAGCACAGCCAAAATTTGTTATCTTCTACTTTTAGCAGAGCATTAAATTTTAAGGTAAATTTTAGTAATTATTCTCATATAAAAATAAAGGGTTTGATGTTTGTCATTTTAAATAATATAAGTTATGTCATTTTAAGAGAGAGATAGACACAGAAAAATGAAAATTATGAGAGAGAAAGTGAGTGATTTTTTTTAATTTAAAATTTAAATAATTTTTTTTTTGTGTCTGTCTCTCTTTTAAAAGGACAGAGTGTTATGTCATTTAAAATGACAAATACTTTTTCCAAAAATAAAAACTTAAATAATTAAGAAAATACAGGAGCTGATACTGAAAAACGAAATAAGTAAAAATATAGAGTCTAAAACTTGAAAAAATTATAAAAACCAAAACTAAATTTGTGAAAATATAGAATCTTTAAGATGTTCTTTGTCAGGAAAGGTTATAAGGCTTCTATGGCATATTAGTGGCAGATCCAGAAAATTACATGAGTGGGTGACAATTATGAAAAGACAATGTCAGCTTTGGTTGGAATTATTACGCTAAGGATACAAAAATGCCCGTTAGGAAGAACCTAATAAAATTATAGAATTATTTTATATATATAAATTTTTTGCTATAATTTTTTTATTAATTTTTTGTAAAATGCATCACAATTTTTTTGCCTTCGACGACACTGATTCAATGCATCATCTGTTTCAATAAGGAGTTAGCTTTAGAGCCGTACTATGAGGATAAAGTAGCTGGAGGAGGTTGTGTGAGAATACCTCTAAACTATTTGCCAATTTTTTTTATTTTTTTTTTTTTTTTTTATTAGTGGATAAATTGGATGACTAGCAAAAATCTAAAATTAAATTAAATTAAAAAAATAAAACCACACAATGTGTTTAAAATTTAAATCCAAAGACGAAAGCAACATAAATAGCCTTGAGCTCTCAAAGCACTACACTAACACCAATGTGCTGTTTCTTTTCTAATATTAAAATAATAAAATTAATAATGAAAAAAAATTACTAGAACGTTTCTAGTCAGAATGATAGAGAATGACAAAATTCTCAATATTCCTTGCCTTAGCAAGGTGTTTGTGGATAAGATGTATTTGTATGTTGGAATGCTTTCATTTCCAAAATTATATATAACTAAAAAAGTAAGACATAAAATCATTCAAATTCATATTTATGATAATTTATTTGTTACTGCGCACAAGCCACAAGAAACAATTATTTTCTTTGATCTTATTATGCTGATGGACAATCACATATTAACAAAAATAATATTAATTTTTTTCAGATTTTAACCCGTGTAGGTCTGCCTATGTATAGCATTATAGGAGACCATCAAGTATTATATAAAAAAAAATCCCAAACATGCACACTTTTGTAAGTACAATACAAAAATAATTACATTTATTTTATCATTTTTCGTTAGTCTTATATCTAAATTAATTGGGTGATTAACATTCAACAAAAATGGACGAGTTCATCAAATGATGGTAATTCAGTTGATAGTAATAAAATTGAGTAAGTGAAAAGAAAAATATCTCGATTCGATTTCACATGCCACTTTTAGAAGGAATTTAAATTTTTTCATCTATAATCCGTCCCGCATTTCGAATTAGACCTATAATCAGTTCAAAGAATCAAAACTTATAAGAATACTAAAAAGAGGAAACTCACCTTAAAGATATAATTAGTATTGGGTTAACCAAAAATAAAATAAAAATGGATGAGTTTATATTGGAGGGCCACGTAAGATGTAGTAGAAACAGAACAGAAGGAAAGAGGAAGACAAAAGTTAGGTACAGCCTATGGAAAATTTCATAAGTACCATAGAGAGAATAAGTGCCCAATCGTTCTACCTTCGGACAACAATTACTCGAACCCGACAGACAAGGAGAGGTCTCCGCTTGAACGGCCTGCAACTTTGCAAAATGCAAACACTATCTTGTCATATCTCTCTCTCTCTCTCTCTCTCTCTCTCTCTCTCTCTACTTTAATCGATGATGCTCATAGTTGATGGCAGCATTCAGCATTTCAGCCACTCACCGACTTATTTCTTTATAAATAGTATGCTTCTTAATGTTTTCTTGTTGCAAGCATGCACTAGACAAGGGTTCGTACGAGGAACAGTTTTTCTTATTATTATAGATTTTATTGCCAGGTTCGTTTTAGCTATTAACTATTATAAATGGGATCGACATTATTTTATATCGATATAAATTATAATTATAATTTTGACCGTTGATTTTATTTATATCTAAATGATTTTGATTTATTAGATATGTGAAACATTAGATAAAAGAAAATCAATGATTAAAATTTGATAAAAAACTTCTTATTTTTGCATTGCTGTGAGAATGACCTGCATCGTATAAATAATGGTTCCCAACGGTTTTTGTCCCAATAATAATAGCATAAAATATATATGCTCTTAATAAAATTATCACCATCTCAGTATCATTATAAAATGCTAATCATACGTACAATCATATGCCGAGATCGAACAAGCATTTCTGCAATAACATTAAAGATCATTTCGTCATCGAGTACATATAAATTAAAGGAGTATTTAATTTACATATATATCATACATGATTAAATTAATTTCATACTAGCTACTTACGATTTCGACATTGTCAAAATGTTTAATATAAAATAAAAGGGGGTAAAAAAAAAGAAGAAGAAAGAGGAAGATGTTAGCTGCAAATTCTAACCACCAACACCACTATCATCATAATCATAATGATCACGATCTTAATTCATTGCAGCGTCATATATTCTACCATGTAATGATAACAAGTTCTGTACCGGTTCAGTCTAATCAGAAGAACAAATCCACGAATCAACGTTACCTTCACCTCCTCTAGTAGAGTTATTCTCTAAGGTACTCTTCTCATGGTTCAAGTTGCTTGAAGCAGAAGTTGAAAAGTTCAGCTTGCAGCTACCAGCTGAAGCAACTTTACCATAACTCCCATCCAAGAACCTTAACGGATCTCTCCTACCTCCACCATTCGGTCCTCCAACTATGCTTCCATCATCGCTGGCACTGGCACTCTTCTGAGACATGCCCTCAGAAGTTACATGGCCATGACCCGTTGGAACCGATACACCACCAGCAACAAGATGCGCATTCACTTGGCCATGACTCATATCAAGATCCTCAAGCGATGGTACGGACAAACTTGCCTGGGACTTTGAAGTACTAAACCCTGCAGGGAGATGGTTGCCAAAAGGATAAAGAGGTTGTGTAGGGTTGAATGTGAGAATAGGTTGATGATTTTGCATGCCTAGCATGATGCTTTGTTGGTGGTGATAGGGTAGACCCAGATCAGGAGGTAGTTGGTAGTTAATGGAGTTACTAGATGAGGAGTTGTTGGTAGTGGCAGAGGAAGTAATATTTGTTGTGGATGCTATAGCATCAACCATATTACCGTGCAACAACGTTGAAGGAGAAGGTGATGAGGAAGATAAGAGAAACGGGTTTGGATGATGAAGCTTTTGTGGTGAAGGACGGAGAGGGTAAAAAGAACCCGTTGTCTCCAAGTGAGAGGAACTTGACCTTAAGGAGGATGAGGCTGTGAGAAGATCGAGCCTGCGAGAGTAAGATGAGCCTGAGAAGGGTGGTGCAGGGATTCCAGTGAACTCTTGAACCATGGCTCTGAAATTGGAGGTGTCGGTGGTGAGAACTGTTGTTGGTGCTCTTCTTGAAGCTCTGGTTCGCTTCTTTGAGTTGCGTGCTGCATTGGTTGGTGATGAAAGCACTCTTGCATTGTCATCATGAACTGAGCGTAATTGAAGTGATGGGTCCGTGGCACCTTGGTGAAGGCCTTGAGGAGAAAACAAATATTGGTTTATCCCTGATGCTGTTGGTGTTGATGATGGTGAAACAACTCCTGCTGGATCGGTGCAATCAGGTTCGGATCTTCGGCCTTGAGAAGTAGTACCGGTATCCAAATTTAGAAAAGAATTTGGATTTGAGTTTGGTTGGGAGTGAGAGAGAGTGTGGAGGTAGCTTGATGAAAGATCAAACAAAGAGGGATGGTGATGATGAGAAGAAACAAGGGAAGATTGTGGGTGTGAGATGGAACCAAATTGGGTAGGATTATTATTGAGGAAGGGTGAAGAGAGTACTGTGTGATCAGCCCGTGAATCATATTCTTCATCACCACTAGAAGAGATACTTCCACTATTACCAGAATCCATAGCTTGCAAATTAAGCAAAAGGGGGGAACAAAAGGAAAGGGAAAAAAAAAAAAAAAAACTACAAAAAGAAAAGTGGTGTTTAAAGGAATTAAAAATAGAAAAGCTTATGGCGGTGAGAGGACCTTAGAGTAGTTGAACTTGGTGGTGAAAGCTGCAAAGTTTCAGAGAGTGAAGACCTACTTTGGTGGTGATAAATAACCCATGAACTCTAATTCTGAAAACACCCTTTTGAAAAAAAGCACCGAATCTTTGGATCGAATCCCTGATCTGCAATATGGAAGCAAATCTTTTCCCAGCTTGTCTTTCAGTCGGAGAAAAAGGTTTTTCTATAAAAAGAAGAGAAAAAAACACATAGGCATGTAGATCTCACTTATGATATAAAACTGACTAGGGAAAGAGGCAAGGTTGGGAAAGAAAGAGAAGCCTTGAGAGATAAATTACAAAAAGGCCAGAGCCTCGAAGGAGGTGTAGATATCTCACTTTGGCTATTTTAGTGGGGTGTGTTTGAGTTAGGGTTTCAGGAGAAGGGAAAGAGAGAGAGAGAGAAAAAAAAGGGAAAGAAATGAATGGAAAGGTTATTTAACCTTTGTGTTTGTGCTCAGAAAAAGAGGCCTTTAGAAGATGAAGATCCTCTAGAGAGTGCAGGGTGGGGTCGCCATTGGTGTAGAAAGAAAAGAGTTGCCGGTGGCTGGCAACGGGTCAAACTCAAAGTGAATAGCGAGAGGGACAGTGAGAGAGAAGGGTTATGAATGTGAAAGGGCGAAAAGGATGTAGTAGTGTGGGAATGTAAATGTGCAAACCTTTACCCATACGAGGCAAAAAAAAGTCACTTGAAGATAAATTATTTAATTATTAATAGAGTTCATCTAATCTCATGGTATACGAGAAAAGATATCTTACATGTTGTAAAGACACATGTGGTAGGGTCTATTATTTACAAAAAAAAAAAAAAAATGTCATAATTTTCAATAGGTCTACAAGAAATAAACTACTCTTATATGCGGTAGTTTTTCTCTTATTAATAACCCAATTAAGATTAAAGAAGGAGAGAGAAGAGAGAACAAAAAGTGAAGTAGAAAGCCAAACCAAAGAAGGCGGGCAGGCCAGGTTAGATAGGAAATTATACACGTATAATTGGGTAAGATCATAAAACCAAATGCACCACCTGCATTACTCTTTCAAATTCCTCTAACTTTTCATGCACCGTGGCTAGATCATTTTTGAAGGATTACGAACTTCAAATTTAATCTTTTTCTCTCCCGGATTATTTGATGAGAAGAAGATTTCATACACACAAAAAGAAAGAAAAAAACAAAAACACACACACACACACATATATGATAGGATCCTTGTCAAACTTAAAAGTTTAAGTTTTACACTAAATTTTAATAGTTGATTTCCACCCACCAACGGTTATAATTTATAGGTATGTACATTTATTAATATATATATATATATATATATATATATATATATATAATCTTGAAAATTAGGGGTGTTCGCGGTCTGGATTGGATCGGTTTTGAAGCAAAAAACCATCCGATCCAATTCCTTCGGTTTGGTCATTACATCATCCGATCGGTTTGATTTTTTTTTCAAATCCGATCCAATCCGATCCAATTTTTTCGGTTTGGATTGGATCGATTTTCGGTTTTTTGAAAAGCCAAAAAAACAAAACTTAAAAGAATTATTTTTAAAAAAGTGACGATGTTTCAAAACATTTCAAAATTCAAATGGTTATCAGAATTGCTTCACATGTCTTGTACATCAGTTAAAGGCTCAAAGATTATGTCACAGCCACACAAAATCAAAGATTATGTGAAACAGTTATCAGAATTGGTTCACATGGATTAGAAGCAGAAGAACTGCAGAGAACGCGAGAGATCTTAAAAACGTTATGTCACAGCCATACAAAATAAAAGGCGATTGTTTGAAACCAACGAAAAATGAAGGAAAATATTATTTCTTTATCACATGAATAACGGGAAGAAATTTAGAAATCTGCTTTGCTATACCTTTATCATGCCCTTGATGCAAATAAAATCAAGTGTTATAGTACCTTTGTTATATGTTTATTTGGCTGTTTAACGGAAGAGACAAACGTTGATTTTTGAGAAGAAAGAGATATGCTACTGGTGCCAGAGCGTGAGTGACTGAGAAGAGTGAGAGACTAAGAGGACGACAAGAGTGAGTTTGGATGGATTAGGTTTAGAACTTTGGGTGGGTTTAAAACTGATAGGCTAACGCACGGGTGTGTTTAAAACTTTGGGCCGGCTATTATTTGGGATAGGTAATAGGTATAATTTGGTAAAAAAAAGTTTGGATCGGTTTGGATTGGATCGGTTTTTAACATCAAAACCGAAAACCGATCCAATCCAGTAATTTTTTTCGGTTTTTTCGGTTTTCGGTTATTTCGGTTTTCGGTTCGGTTTTTGCGGTTTAAATCGGTTTGGATCGGTTTATGAACACCCCTATTGAAAATCATAAATACTAATTTTTGGATAAATTAAACATTTATTGGTATGTACATTTAATAATATTTATTCGTATTTGTAAAAAAAAAATTATAAGTTTAAATAAAATAAAAAAATTGAAATATTATTTAATTTTTAATTTGTAAATATTTTTTATAAACATTATCTATCTAATATTATATAAAATTACTCTATTTAATGGTTTTTCTATAAACCATTAAAGAATATTCAATAGTATAAATTAAGGAAAATCTTTTTCTGACACTTTTTTTGGGGGTAAAATCTGACACTTTTTTTTATTTGATGAAATTTTGTATTAACTCCATGATATTAATAGCTGTTATAGTGAGATCAGTATGAGATTTTACTTCAAAATTTTAAAAAAATATAAAATGTTAAAGCTTTTATAATAAATTAAATCATCACAGCTTTTAGTGGGATTCGAACAGACAAGAATGTTTCCCTCTTTATTGCTGATAAGATGAGCAAATAAAAAGATCTTCTTCGACTTAAAGATATATATAGTTTCACTTCGTCTGAAAGATATATATTTTTTTAATTATTATTATTACATAAGAGTTATACTTACAACTTTTTTTTTACAATCTCTTACAATCATATCTTAATACCGTTGATTTCCGCCAATCAATGGTTATCATTTATTGTGAATTAATAATTAATTAATGAGTTTAATTTACAAAAATCATAATCGTTGATTGGCGAAAATCAACGGTGTTAAGATATGGTTGTAAGAGGTTTAAAAAAAAGTTGTAAGTATAACCTAATTCTATTATTAATATTAAAAATAATAAAAAAGATACTTATTCTTTCTCTTTTTTCTTTTTACCGTAATAACGTAATTTACTTTTTAAATTACCCAAATGGTACAAGATTTGGACAAATTCTTAGAATTAGATTAGTCGTGACTCACCAAATGGTATTGGTTTAAGTGACATATATTAGATTCAGTCTAAGCAAGTCTTGGATTCAAGTTATTCGAATGCAAAAAATTCTCTTTACGAGAGTTAGCCTCATCATGACGTAGATATTTCTTACCCGTGGAGAATACCCATGATTAATAAAAAAGGAGTAAATATCTTTTTTAGTTCTCAGCAAATTTCACGATGCCCGCTTTAGTCTTTAGCAAATAAAAAGGCTATTCGTGATACTAAGAAATTTAAAATGGACCCATTTAGTTGAAACCACGGTCCCTCCTAAATTCAAAAAAGATCTACATGAGTCTTCCTTGTATTTTTTAGGAACCACAAATAACCTTTTCATTTGCTAGGAATTAAAGCGGGTATCCTACAATTTGATGAAGACCGAAAATGATATTTACTCTGAAAAAAAAAGATAGTCGTGACTCGCCACTCGATGCTAATGAGATAATACTCCTCCATCTTTGTTCTCTTACATTCAATATTGTTTTCAGCAAATGCGAACATTCCCGAGTACGAGTTTGCTGTACGTTCTCTCATTTTCTTTCTCTTTATTTCAGGCGCCCTAATTTTCTTGTCCTTTATTCTTTTTAGATAATAACCCAACTGTATGTATTGGAATAGGTTCAAGCAGTGAATAAGCTGTGCAAATCCCACAACACCATCCCCGTGAATGGGCAATATAGCCGGGCCAGTCACTACAAGAAAAAAGTTTATTTGTGACAACAAATTTCGTCACAAATGACAATTTTAGTCACAAATAATTAAAATTCGTCATAAATAAATTTGTGACTCAGGAATTTGTGACGAAATTTCATATGTAGTGACGAAATTTGTGACACTAATAAGATTTTTTTTTGTAGTGCAGTGTTGGAAATCAATGTAACATTCACGGGTATAATATCAAGCTAGTTCAAAAATGAAGTCCTTATCTAAATTAATCTTACTCGTTTCCTTAATCCTTATCATGAGTTATATAGAAGACACGTCATAACCAAACGATGGTAGCTCAGTTGGCGCATGAGAACTAAGAACTAAGAAGGTGGGAGTGAGAGTATGTGTTCGAATCTCCTCAGTACCACCTTTGGGAGGGGTTTAAAATTTTAATCATGGACTCGCCTCGAATCGGATTAGTTGGAAGCAATGAACCAATTGAAATATTTTTAAAAAAAAAACACATTATAGTCCTATTGTCATTATATGATACATGCATGAAAGTTTTAGATGGTAGATTTTTTTTTATAATAATTATTGTCCATAGCAGTCATTTTAATAAAAATGAACTAAGTCATGATTAATACAAGGTGCATTATATAATTAGCCCATTCGATTAGGTGATTTTTTTGTTTGAACTTGGATATTGTAACACTGATTAGTATTAGTAATAATATATGCCTAATTCATACGTTCATGATGGGACAAAAACTAGAATTTATAAGTTTGCCTAGGTCGATCTATTTTGCATTCACAATATATTAAACAGTCATTTCACAACTTGTCCCATTAACCATTGTGAATTAGGAATGGTATGAACTGCAGAAGAAAATCAAAATCTTTCAACCTTTGCAAAATTATCAGTGTAATAACA